CACTGCCCATGCCTAGCGTGGCTCTAAGGACAAGGACTGCTGTGAGCTGAGTGTGGTGGCGCACACCTGTCATCCTAGATCTCTAAGAGACTGAGACAGGAGGATCACATGCTTGAGGCCAGCCAGGGCAACTTAATGACTTAGCAGGACCCTGACTCAGGGCTGGAGTCAGTGCAAAGACTATGGGTTCAATCCTCAGAAATGAAAACAGAAGTCTTGTTTATTCTGGGCAGGAAGTTTCCAGAGATCCAGCAGCTGAGGACGCGCATTCCAAACCACCCCACGGCAAGCTGCACCTAGGACCGGGCGAACGCCCACAGGTGACCAGGGAACGTGCAAGACAAGCAAGGAGCAGGAGGAAAGGTATACAGTGTACCCCCAGGTCCCTCCCTTTTAGAAAAACACCCTTGTTCTTGCTCAGTACCCACACTTCGCACGCACGCACACACACACACTGCCACCCTCTTCACTTGGCACTTCCGCCAAGGAGAGAAGGCAGAGAGGCCGAGGGCACTGGTACAGCTTAGGAGAAGACCTTCCCCGGCCCACCCCTGCAGTCCGTGGTGTCCCTGAAGTCAAGCTCAGGTCCCCACACTAATGGCTCCTCGGGATGGGGGAGCAAGGACAAGGGCCACTCACAGTGCAGGAGGGAAGGGGTATCTTTGAGGCAGGGCGAGGCTGGAGGGCTGAACGTCGAGTGGGACCCTGCAGAAGGAAAGGAATTCACTGCACGCAGCACTTCTTTTTTGCTATGTGTGCCCTTTCACTGATGACCAAACTGAGCCTTGAACAGGATGATATTGTGCATGAGGTCACATGGCCAGCAAACCCCAGAGTTGGGATGTGATGTGAGCCTGCAATCTCCAGGTCCCTATACCCTGAGGCCTCCCGGGCACCTGGGACACAATCCCTCACCTAAGAGGCAAAACTAAGTTTACCAGTTTCCTGCTCCTCCAGCTCACACAGTTCACCCTAAATTAGGGGTTTAAGCCCCTATACCCCTCCCTTTAAAGCAGCCCCTATCTTCAGCTAATGTGGGCTTGGTCTAAGAACCCAAAGTCAGAACGGCTCCCAAGCAGCCAGCACTAACAGCCTGCCACTGCCCCCCCCTCCCCGACACACACACCTCCAGCCTTGTCTCTGTATTCCCCAAGCAGCACAGACTGTAGCCCACCAATTTTTGGTTCTGAGCAGAATTCTCTCCTCTTTCTGGAATCTGGAGGACCAGCCCACCCGGGGGCCGAATTCCTCCCACCCCGCCCAGGTCCCCACCCACAGCCCCCAGCAAAGCCAGCCAAGTGGGGCTCTGTCCTGTGGAGGAACAGCAAAAACGCTGAGTGGTACTGAGTGGCAGCCCATCCCATCCCATGTGGCCTCTGCCCCAGCGTGGAAGGCGAGCTCCAGAGCCAGGGTGGAGGGAAAGGATAAAGTCTGGGGCAGGGCTTCCTTCCAGTTTGTGGTTTCTGTGTGCCCTGGAAGCCTGCCTTTGCCTGCTCTGTTGGGTCATGACCTTCCCAGGACTGTGTACTCTGTGCCTAGCACAGAGCTGGCTGCATAACAAGAGGCCAGGTCCCTTGTTTAGGAACACTGAACTCTGGTGGCTTCACTCTGATCTCCTTGAAACCCTTTTCCTGGCCAGCTGGACATGCCCCACTGGGTTGCCAAGCCCCTGTGCTTCTCTGGGGAGAGAGGTGAAGATTTGCCTATCCGTGGGGAGCTCTGCAGCCAGCCAGCTCCCTTTCCTGTGTGCAGCAGACCGCCTCAGGCCAGGTCAGCTCCTGCCCCTGCAGGGCAGGGCTGAAGACTCTTCTGTCTTCAGCCTGGAGGTGTTTGTTTAAGTCACTGGGCAGCTCTGCCCAAAACACGATCCTGCCCACACCCTTGGCACAAGCCCCACATAGCACTCCTGCAAGAAGCCAGCAGGCACAGAGAAGGCCAGAGGCCCCAGGCTGGACAGCAGTGACTAAACTAGTCTCTATCACAGCTTGGAAAAAAACTGTTCTTTAGCTAGAGGCGTGACAGGAGGGGACTGTGAGTACACTGGCTTTATCTGTATAACTCATAAAGTCTCTAAAAGCTGATCTGCATGTGTGTGCATACACACATGTGTGCATGGGTACATGTAGCCAAGTGTGATGTGTTGGAGATTAGGGACAGGCGAGGGTGACCAAGCCTGGGCTCAGAGGGGAATCCAAGAATTTATTTAAAGCAGAGAGAATCTAGAATGGATTCAGAAGTCAAAGAGGGATTGGGAACAAGCTGTAAAGTCCTTCTACAATAGTGCTTCACACTACTTCTGTCCATGACACCCCAAGAGGACTTTTTCAGCTATCAGCATTTGCTCTCCCTCCTGCCCTCTCTCCCCTTCCTCTGGTTTCCTCCTACCTGAGTGTCAGGTTCTACGCCCTAGTCTGCCTCTCTTGGGACTTCAGAGGGATCTTTGGGCTCTGTCCCCTTCCCTTACATAAGGCCAGGCTGCCTAGAATTTTGGCGAAACACAGCAGAGCCACAGAGAAGAGCTAACAAGTTCCAAATCCACACATGTTCTGGAGGCCTCACCATCCATCCCTTGGGTTGGGATTAGAGACAAGTTAGATGGACCTGGGTACCCGCTGTACATCTTTCCTCTTGCTCCTGGCTGGCCTCGCACGTTCCCTGGTCATTCATTCCACAGATATTTGCAGAGCTCCATCTACATCCAGGCTACCTTAGAAAGTATTTGAAAAGGATTCAGAAGAAAGCTATTGGATAGGGCTTCACCCTTGGCTTTGCTGAGTTTAAAGAATAAAATAAGATAATGGATCTAGCAGAGGATGTGAAGCCGTAAACTCCAGGTTAGGGTCTTGTCTCTTCCATCCAGATGTGACCCTGGGCAAGTAATTTCACTTCAGTCAACCTCAGTTTAATCATCCATAAACAAATGAGAGTAGCACGCCTACAAAAGCCAGTTGGTCTGAGAATTAACTAGATAAATGGTATGGAAGTCAAGAGTTACTGTGGAAATTGCATCAGACCCAGGGCAGACTAACTCACATGAACGAAGTCCTACAAGATCAATCAGTAGCCCAATACAAAAGAAACGCCGTGTATCCGCTGATAGCACTGCATGCTCCTGTCAGCTACGCAGCACATTCTCTGCCCAGCATGATGAACCCTGGCAGATTGTCCAGTGGGCAAAGGGATACAGTTGTTTGAACTTGGTGTCCACTGCCTCTTGGCTGGAAGTAGGAGCCTGATGACTCATCTGCTTTCTAGGAACTTCTTAGCCAAAGTTAGAGCAGGTCAGGCTATCCATGATGCTGGACACTACAGGAGACTATGGACAAATTCTTGCTCTCTGGTTCTGCTTTGTTTAATGATTCTACTGCACAATCACCCACTCATTCTACAAACCTATATTAAGGGCCTGCTAAGGGCCAGGCACTGGGTTAGGTGGTCAGGATACAAAAAGTGGACAGGAAAGGACATACCTGCTTGCTGTCCTCTCTTCTGTGTACCCCACATGAAGTACACAGGCTTTAGCAGCAGACTGACAGTGGAGCACATGATTGGCACCAGTGACCAGTGTTACGATGAGGAGGCAGAAAGGGCCCTAGGAACAGAGGTACGATGCTAAGTCCATGCAGGGACATCTGGAGGGCTCCTAGGGGCTGTGACCACACACGTATCCTTCCCTGAGCCCAGTGGTAGGGCCACTTGTGTTCTGGCTTTCTTTAGCCTGTCATTGGCTACACCCTGACAACTCTGAGTGACCCTGGGTGTTTCCCCAGCCCCACAAGCCATGCATCTACAAACGCTCCCTTGGGTTGGGCTGGTAGACAATTCTTCCATTCACTCAACAAATATTTGTTGAGTCTAATTATGTACTAAAGCTAGCTACTTTCACCTTTTCAGGGGGACCCTCGCCCCAACTTCCAGCCGTGCCTTCCAGTGATTCCACTGCACCCCAGAGCACCTATTTTCTCCTAGAGGGATGAAAGGGCAACTCAGGGCAGGAAGGGCAGGAACAGTGCACCCCAGGTGTCTCAAGGAAAAAGCATCTGATGTCCAGGAGAGTCTCTCCTTCCCGGAAGATGTCCAGAAACTTCCCGCTCCACCTCACCCTTAGCACCACTGTTTGTGGTGCTGCCGCTGTTGCACTCAACAGGCGTCTCTGACCCCAAAGGCCAGCAGCAGCCTGGACAGCACCCTGGGCAGCAGACTCTGATTCCCAGAAGCAACAGAACCAGGGGATTGGAGGTTTGCCAGCTTTGGGAACACCTTTCATATCATCGTAGAGCCAATTTCTAGAGCTCCTTTACCAGACCCCAAGCCTCCTCGTTCTCTCCACGTGATGCCTTAAAAGATGGAAGGGCCAGGGATGCTTTTCCCATTTCCCTGATGGACAGACCAAGGCCAGGGCTCACAGTGACATAAGATCAGAGACAGAACAGGGAAGCAGTTCTGTCACAGTTCCAAAACCCAGAAGGCCCTTAGGGCCTCCCAGACGCAGCACAGCTCCTTCCACCGGGATGTTCAGAGGTCCGCTGCCCCGCTGTAGATCTCCAACCTTCAAAGCAAGCGGTCCCTGTGCCCCACCCTACAGGTGGCCTCAAAGGCCCCCATTGTCCAGGAAGCTATTTGGCTTGACCCCCAGCCCATTAGCAGCAGGACAGCAAGCTCAGAGAGGAATCTGCCTCGTGCCTGGTGCCCCTGCTCGGCTGGCTGCCTTGGGGGAGCCTGTGGGGCAGGGCCCCTTTGAATGTGACCTATTGTCTCTGGGCTGGATTTAGGAAGTGCCAAGCTCCCATCAAACAGCCTTGCTCCCCCAGTAAAACAAAAAAAGGGCTGTTCATTTGGGGCCTTTTCCCCTTATCTCCTTTTCCTATCTCCTCGGGCTTAGCCATGGTGTAGTGTTCAAAACCACTTCCCGTTGGAGCCAATCAGAAGCTGGGGCTCACCCCAGCGGCTCTGAGGTGAAGTTATTTATAAACGCCTCCCTGGATTATTTGAGCAGAGCCCTTTCACACACCTCGGAACACCTTTTGGCTGCCCGCTGCCCAGACACACCTGCAGCCCTACCCAGCCGCTCCGCTCACCCACCGGTAAGCCCCACCCGGCCGGCCCAGCCCACCACCCTAGAGGGGGGCACCCTGGGAGATGGGTGACAGGACCCCCTGGGAACAGGGTGGGCTGCTTGCCCAGCTGTGCAAAGTGGGACGCACACGCTGGCCCCAAGTGTGGCTGAGGGAGTGGAAGGACAGAGGCTGTGGCAGAGGAGGCCATTAAGCCCCCCGCATAGAGTGGGGCCAAAGAGCCACCTGCCTCCCAAGCCTCCCCGGGAGGGGACCTGGGGGCTTTCCTCAGAGCCCAGCCTTTGAAGAAGCAGGCTGGGCCTCTCCCTTTCTTTCCCTTCATGCTTGGCTCTCCAGCCTCCTCTGTATGGCTGTCCCCCACTCCTGCCCTCCCAGATGTCCCCTGTCACTCATTCAACTCAGTAACTTAGCACAGACCACAAGGAATCCTGTTTGTCGCCATTAGCCCCGGGAAATGGAAGAAGTGGAAGGGAAGGAAAGCAAGGAGCAGGCAGGCAGGGGACCAGTGCCCATAGCTGAGGGTAGGTCCCCATAGGTGGGCGTAGGTGGGCAGGCCCTCGGGGCTCCTAGGCAAATGCTTCGACACAGAAGGGGTTTGGGCTTAGGCTGCTAATGTCACCAAGGAGGCCAGGAATGATATCACTTGGACAAGGAGACATGTGAAGGTCTGAGAATCCAGGCCGAAGCCCAGAGTGGCACTCAAGTGATGGCCACTTCCTCTGGAGAGGATGACAAGCCAGCCGCATGGGCTCCTTTTTGCCCCACTCCTTGTTCAGCAGCTCTGGGGTCCCAAGTCCCCCTTACGCAGTGGACTGATTTCCTTTTTGAAGGCCCAATCTTAGGACAAGCAAATCTTTTACGGTCTTACTGCCAACTCCTCTCTTGAACTTGGACTCATTGGATCTAAGCACCGGCATCAAGGGTCTGCCCCCCACACAGAAAGAATGAGAGAGGGCTTCTCCAGACTCCTGTCACCCTCACAGACTCTCACAGTGGCCCTGGCATCAGCACCAACAAGCCCTGTGTGGGCAGCATGCAGACTGGCGCACGCAAGACATGCTCACCACTGTGGTCCTCACCAGCACTGTCCGTGGTCAGCTCCACGGCTCCGAGGCCTATTTGCATGAAATTCAGGGGGTGCAGATGGGCTTTTTTTCCCCTCTTCAGCACTGGGGATTGAACCCAGAGCCTTGCACACTGAGCTGCTTCTATTTTTATTTTGAAACAGGATCTCACTGAGTCACTAAGTGGCCCAGGCAGGACTGAAACTTGTAGTCATCCTGCCTCTGTCTCCCAGAGTGCTGGGATTACAACCATGTGCCACCACACCCAGCTGAGAGGGATTTTTTCTTGTCCCTTAATGCTTACAGTCTTCCAGGAGATATCACGGAGTCAGTACGTGGTGAGAGGAATTTAAACTATACAATAGGAGTCGGCTCACTGGAGTCAGGGGACCAGCTCGACACACTCCAACCTCCAGAAGATAAGGGGTCACTACTAGAGACATAAGAGCCATGCTACACAACTCTGGGCTTTATCTAAGTACTCAGGTCTTCACCAGTCTCCTGGTCCAGGCCCCTGCTTCCAAGTGAGACTAACAAGTCTCCTTAGAGACATCTACAAGTCTAACCCAAGTATCTGTTCCAAGGACCATGTGACTTTGCTCAGGTCTCACTGTGGAGAGGATCTTTAAGTCTCTGCCCCTTTGACTGGAACTCACTTCCTCCTCCCAGTGTCTGTCCCTCCAGCAGTGGCAGAGGGAGTCCCCCTGGAGATAAGGAGTACGAACTTGGGGTCACAAAAGGGAGTCTTTCCCCTGCCCAAGACATGGCCCGGGACATCTTGTTCTTTCCTGGCATCACTGAGGAGGAAATTGGGCTGGGGTAAGGGTCACCCAAGAACCATGAAGAAAACAGAAAGAAAAAGAGTATCTAAAGATGCCTAGGGGGTACATGGTGCTCTGCAGCCTCCCTCCTCCTGACAGGACACCACCTTCAGCTGAGAGCCCAGCCCTCTTGCCATACTCCACCCTGGCCAGACAGAGGTGCCCTTCTACCGGGGGCCTCACCCTGGACGAGGCAGAAGCTGCCAGCAGCAGGAGCAGAGGGGAAACCTCAAAGTGACCCTTTTTTTCCCCCAGAACACAGTGACCGGCCAGGTAGGAGTCAGCAACAAGGACACCAAGGTGAGTTGGCCAAGCTGGGGCAGCTGTCCTGTATCTGGTGCAGATGCATCTGAGAATCCCCGCCACTAACAGTGCACACAGGGGAAAGCTCGGGAGGAAATGGGTCTGAGGCCTGGGGACAGGCTCGCCTCTAGCCGTGATCCAAACTGCACTGGGCTCCTGGTCTCTGCTCTCATATGTCCTTGCCCTCTTCTGAAGAGATTTTCTGCCTTCCCTCTGCCAATGTTGACACCATCTGAAGGGCCCAAGGTCTGAGGTTGGGGCACAGGGCAGATAGGAAAAACAAAGACCAGGGAAGTACAGTGAACTGCAGAGCAGAAAGAAAACCCTCGGGGTGATAGTAGTGACCACGCGCTTACTGCATCCAGACACCGGAGCCCATCTCCGCCCAGTATTCTGAGGGTGCTGACAGACCGAGGTCCCAGTGGGCTTTCTTTAGCTTGAGCCCATCCTCAGGCAGGCCCACCGAGTCCTCTTGCCCAGCTCCTTGGCTCCATAAGATCCCTGGTCCCCCCAACCCCAGATTGATCTCGCGTCCCTCCTGGAGTTTAGGAGCTGTCCATGCACCCGCATTTCCTACCCTCCACCCTTCCCGGGCTCCCTCTGTCCTCTGAAGCCCACACACCGGCCTCAGTGTCTTCACTCTCCTTCCCTTCATGGTGGAGGAGGGGCAGGGTCAACTTTCCATCCCTCGCTACTGCCATACAACACCTGCTATCATTCCTGACCCTGATCGGTGTGGGGACAGGAGGCAGCAAGGCCCCCAGATACATACCTGTCTAGGACAGTGGGACACTTGGCCAATGCTGACATCACCCAGCAGGTCTGCATGTTTAGCTAGGGACCAAATTGTCATATTCCATCTCCTCTCTTTCTTGATTTCTCTTTCACTTCCTGCACCCCTCATTCAGCACCCAGTGAGGTGCGCTCTCCTCCCTGGAGGTCCCTGGGACCCCACAGCCTCCTTAGCTCTGAAAGCCCTGAAGTCTATCTGTAAGAGGCAGGCCCTTCCCAGTGTACTGCTCACCCTTTCAGCCTCCCGTCCCGCTTTCCTCCACTGTCCCAAGCCCTAAAGAACTGGCTGGGGATGAAGGTGACCTCCCCTGCTGCACCCTACCTCATCTCAAGCCCTCTTCTTAAAATTAGGACGTGAGGTCACTTCCTCACCAGGAGCTGGGAGAACTCCTGAGCCTGCAGATTTGTGACCTGGGTTCCTGGGAGCCAGGATGGGAGGTAGACCTTACCACAAAGTCCTCAAAAGAAGACTCAAATCCAGGCACAATGCTTATTATCCCAGCACTTTGAGAGGCTGAGACAGGAAGATTGCACTCCAACCTGGGCAATTAGCAACTTAGCAACACCCTGTATGAAAGTGAAAAAGGCTGAGGATAAAGCTCAGTTCAGAAACCCTAGCTTCGATCCCCCCAAAACAGAGGAGAATCAGAACACAGAAATCCTGTCACATTGGCTAGATGACAAGGTCAGCAGAACAGTCTGAAAGGACACTCTGGATGCATCACAGGTGACAACCCCAAGAAGCAAAAATCAGCACTGTCCCAGGAGTCCCAGACCCCTGCTCACAGGAGCACTTGCATGGAAGTCAAGGCCTGCTTCAGACCAACCTCTCCTACCTCTCCTGGAGACTCGGTTCCTTCAACCACAAAAAGAGAGAATTAGACTTATGTGGTCAGTTTCCTTTCCAGACAAAACTTCTTGACCTCTAACTGGCTGCTGGCTTCTGTGTGTGGAGTGCACAGGGGATTTCAAAAGCTCCCAATGCCTTGCCACATTACACACCCTTTGGGGAGGGAATGAGGGAACCGTGCGGGAAAAGGATGGCTGTCATGTTGCAGTAAAGCCAGGGAACTTTTCCCCTGCTGGCCTGTGTCACGGGGACTCCCTAGCATCCGCTCCCCACAGTAGGGAAGCTGCCCAGAAGGGCAGGGGCAGTTCTGAGTCACCCACCTGTTCACTCTCTGAAGCAATTCCTCCACCCACACTCCCTTCCTCCTCGCCTCCCTGGAGGGATGGTCAGGAATGCCCGGGGCTCAGGCTGGACAGGAAGCTGTGAAGGGGATCCCAGGAAAGACTTCACAGATCGAAAGGAGGAAGGCGAGAGGAGGAGGAAGAACTTAAGCAAGTCTTAGGGATGGGCAGGACTAGAAAAGCAAAATGAGTCAAGGCACCAGGGCAAGGAGGAAAGTCTGAGAAGATGCCCAAGCTTGTTGGGGGTGCTGAGCAGATCAGGCCACAAATCTACTGAGTCCACCAAAACAAGGCCAGAGGATAAAAGATCAAAATAAGGATCTGGAGCTTGATTGATCCTCTTGAAAATGAGTAAGATGGAGGGAAGGAAAGAGAGAGGGAGGGAGGATGGGAGGAAATATGTAGCAGGGAAAGGAAAGAAAGAACAATAAGGTTTGATGAACAACTGAATGTGGAGGCTGAAGGGGAGGAAAAGGTAGAAAAGGCGATCAACAACAGGGGGAAAGGTACCACTGAGGAGATGGGACTTTGCTTGGGGGAGTTAGGAGAGCAAGACGGTAGGATTAGATGTTAATAGCATCCCCAAAGCACTACTAGAACTTCTAGTGTTTGGAAGATTCAGAGTCACCACCTGCTCGGTGCCATGGGTGTAAGGGCTCCTGTCATCACCCCTTTTCCAAAGGGCTCTTTTCTGATTCGACCTCCCTAAAAAGCGGGGCTATTTCTTCGCAAGTAGTCTGTTTGGTGGCCTGTCACATATTCCCCAAATCATGAGTCTCTCTCTAAAGCCCAGGCATAGAGCTCTGGGCTCCTCCCCCATGAACTCGCCATGAAATTCACCTGGAAAGCCAGACCCTGGCAGATCCCCAAAAGGGTGGCCAGGGAGAGAGAAGCCAAGATGCCTCAGAAGCGGGGGGAGGGGGGGACACTGGAGGTCAGAGAACAATCTCCCCGTGAGGAAGAAGCACCTCCCATCTTAATAGTAGTAATCACTGTCGTTCCCATTCGCTGGTCTCCCAGGAAAGGCTGGGCGCTGCACACTGGTCATCTCACTGAAGCTTCATAGCAGCTTCCTGGACTGTTGTTAACCCCACTTACAGATGAAGACACTGAATCTTGGGCACAAGTCATTCTGGCTCCAGACTCAGTGCTGTTTTTCTGATGCCACTCCACATTTATCCCTCTAAAAGGTCTCACACTCCATCCATGTCTGCCCCTGCCTCTAACATACCATATTGATTCATTAAACAAGCACTGGTGAGTTCTATGGCCCAGGCAAGAGCCTGGGCATGGGCACTGTAGGGAAGTTTGTCTCTGTCTTGCCTTGAGCTGGGTGCCATGCATGGGATTTCACCCAAAACCCACCCTTGCCCATACCCAATTCCCAATGGACCTCAGCCCTAAGACCAAATGAACAGATCCACCCAGCCATCATCGACTGGAGCACAGGCTGTCAATGACAGGAACCCACACCTGTACCACCCTTTAGCTTAATCCCTTCTTAACCTTCAGCTCATCTGATCTTCTCAGCCCTGTGATATAAGGAAGCTATCAGAGGGTTGGAGAAGCAGTGTCACCCAGCCCCCCTCTCCAGCAGAGCCAGGACTAGCAGCAGGTTTCTGGGCCCTCAGGGAGCAGCCTTTCTATCGATTCCCAGGGTCCTCTCCCACAGACAGCACCCACAGCCCACTCCCTTCTGCTGACCTTCCCTGGTCAAGGACATCTCACCTCCTTGTGGGTTACCCAGGTTCAACCACACCGCACACTGGCCGCAGCCACCCCGAACTCTCCAACACTAAATACAAACCCTCCCTCTCAGCTGCGCCACTTCACCCTTTTTCTTCCAATGTCCTCCTAGCAGCTTCTCCTGGCCCTGGAGAGCAGGGCACAGGGGAAGGGACCCAGAGTTGTGGGAGGGAAGGGGCCTCCAGGGATCCAACTCAGCTCCCCGGATGTCAGTGGAGTTGCGTAAATAATGAGGAGGAGAGACACGCCAGTACACAGGGGTGGGGAAGGACAGCCACCGGAAGCTTGGAAGAGACAGGCGGCAATGACCATCCTGACTTCCCAAGCATGCCACTGTCCCTCCCACTTGTGGCCCACAGCACCCTATTCAGGAAGGGTCCTCCTGAGGTCCCCTCAGCCACACTCTGACCTCCCAGAGGCTGTTTTCTCTATTTATTCCAAGCTGACAGGCTGCGTGGTAGGAGCCTTTCTGCCAGGGAAACTGATGTTTAGGGAGAGACACTGGCCTGGGGGGCTCTTGGGGCACAGGGAGGAGCAGGCTCAACATACAGAATCCAGCTGTGACCTCTGCCCCGTACTCCCACCTCTTCACCTGGTGCTCGGTGGGGGTGAGTGAAGTCACAGATGTGCAGTGCCAGCCACGTGCCGGTGCCAAGCAAAACAGCCACGGTGAGGGTGTGTGTCACCAGTACCTGGGAAGGAAGGCCACCAGAAGAAGTGACTTGGTGGAGGAAAGGGAGGCACCTTGCTGCACAGGGCGGGGAAGACCAGGATAAAACTGCTGCAGCCAGGAGCAGAAACAGAAGGCCCTGGCTGTGTGGAGAGGGATGCCCTTCACCCTCCCTTTCTCTGCTCCTCCCAAAGCTTATAAATACTCCAGACATGAGCCAGCCCAGGCCTCGCTTTGTGGTAGACAGAGCTGCGTACTCTCTCACTCTCTTTGATGAGGAGTTTGAGAAGAAGGATCGGACATACCCGCTGGGAGCAAAGCTTCGCCATGCCTTCAGGTAACATGGCCCGGGGCCAGCTTCCCCTTTCCTCTTCTCCTCACCGAAGTCCTCTAGCTCCAAGGCGTGGATCCTGCACTAGCATCCCTACAGTGGGGCTTAAGGAAACCCTTGGGAGGGGAGCGTTACAACCTTCAATGTTAGCGCCTACAAACTCAGTTTCCCTGAGGGCCCTGGGAGGATGGACAAGAAGAACAAGAAGCATTCCAGAAGGAGACAGGGCATCTTCACCTTTAGACTCTGTCCACCCAAGACTTTCTTGGGTCTTCCCAGGAGCTCCAGGTGGACAGGTTGTAGAATGGAGGCACAAGGTACCAGAACCCTACGCCCTGTTTATCCAAAAGCACCTAAAGCCTCCACCACTCCATGTCTTTCCTCTTCTTTCCAGCCTACATAGTCCCTCTTCCATCTGGCTCAGAGAATTTCTACAGGAGGCTCTAAATTCCCTGGCTTTCCTAAAAGGGGCCCACCTACCTAAAGGTCCATCTGCCCTAGGCTCTTCCTGCCCTACTACCCCTGGCATGTCAGTGGGCAGTGTCACTCACTGACACTGAGGGCTGCACAAGGTGATGTGGAACCATACCCTGGGGGCCTGAGGCCACGCACTTCACTCTCCCCCTTCCTACTTGGACAGTTTTTGCCCAGGCCTAGCTGTGGGCTGGCTGGTACATGCTTACTCCCCTGAGGTAAGAGCTGATTCAGTTACCTGGATCGAGGTCACTGGCAGTGACTGAAGCGGAGATGCAGGTGGAACTGGTTCAGGTCAGGCCAATCACCCACTTGAGTTTTGCTAAAAACCCCAGCCCAACCCTGCTTCTCTTGGGAGGCTTCATCTCTACCCAGTTACAGCTGAGGCCTTGAGCGCTCCAATTCTGAGTGCCAGTACCCACAGCTGTGCCCCTCAACTAGGTAGACTCGGCCAGTCTTTGTACCCAAAGAGTTCAAGGTAGGGTTCATCTGTGCTAGAGGGTGGGGAGGTCTTCTGGGGTTCTAAAAGATGAGGATAACATGAACCACAAAGGAAGGCAGGAAACTGACAATTCCCACGATGCAGATATGAGATCATGATCAGGGCATGGCACACAGAAGGTGCTCCCATAAATACCTGTCAGTGAGTGAACGCCTGGAAAACTGACCCTGCTCTCCACCGGAGCATCTCCGAGGTCTCTGTATGGTTCAGCATCTGCTTCCTCCTCTTCTTTCAGACCTCAGATTGTTTGCTCCACTTGTGGCAGAATTGCAAGGAAGGCTGGGCAGAGACCCCAGCCCTCAAATGAGTGGCTATGCTTTCCCCAGCCAGCTCATGAATCTGGTTTTCTCTGCCACAAATATTATAGCCTAATATCTGCATTAAGCAACTCACCAAGTCCAGCGCCCCCTCTACCATCCCAGGGATGGAAGAGGCACTTGCAAGTCCCAGGGGAGACTGGGCAGTCTGGGGCTGATGGTGATGCCATCCCATAAGGGTGTCAGTTGGGACAGAAAAATCTCCCTGGACTTTCTGGCACACAGAGCGTTATCTGTGTTAGTTTCAGTCTTGGGTGACATCCAGGGGACCCAATGTCAGGCAAACTATTGTTGAGCAAGAGCAAAGAGCAGGAATTGGTGCTGGACAGGAAAGGAAGCCTAATCGGGTGAGTCACCAGATGGGCCCCGAGTATTTGAGCTCCTTCCACTGGGAAAAGAAAATCACAGGCCTCCACCCCCATCCAGTCATCAATCCAGCGGCTGTCACCCTTGTTCCTAACACTGTGGGGTTTCCATGAAAGGACCTCAAGGTGTTCAACAAACAGAGAAGGGATCAACTCTCCTACCCTGCAGTGGCCTGGGAACAGTCTCCCATTCTTCCCTCCTCCACAATGCATTCACCAACAAAGAACTCCAGGATGAAGCCAACATATAACAAGGACAGGTCAGCCGAGCTGCACCCTGCAGAAACAACAGAGCCTTCCATCTGGGGAAAGTTCAAGGACAAGGGGCAGCAGACAGCCCCCAGTTCAGACTGAGTTTCACTTATTTTCCTTTTATGCCACAAATGTTTGCTAAGCAGCCTCTGTAACAGTCACTGTGTACAGTATGAACAAGAGAGGCAGATGGCTTGCCGTGGAAAAGTGTGCTGTCTAGAGGCAGACAAAAGGCAAGTCGGTAAGCACAGAATGCAGGTGGGGCTGCAGGAACCCAAACCAGGGTGCCTGGACCTGCTCTCACTCAAACAGGAGTTCAGAGAAGCCTTTTCTAGTGAAGGATCATCAAGCCAAGGGTGGACCTGACACTTCAAAGGCCGATCCACACTGTGAAACCAAGCCTGTGGGCTTCCTAGACAAGCAGCCTGCAATGAGAAGACCTCTAGCTCATGCCAGGGCATGTGTGGGAACTCTTCTGAGAATGTTCCTGCTCCTCTTCTCAGGGGCCCTGGCAGGCAGCAGTGTGGGTGCCCTGAATCCTGCCTGAGATCCAAATGCATTGCGAATACACGGATAGGTTATTATCAACCTCTTAACCTGCCCTTTTCCCTGCAGATGCTCTTCCACTAAGATCAAAACTGTGGCATTTGGGCTGTTGCCTATACTCTCCTGGCTCCCCAAATATAAGATCAAAGAGTACCTTCTCCCCGATGTGCTTGGCGGACTCAGTGGGGGCTGCATCCAGGTGCCACAAGGTGAGAAGCCCCTCAGTCAGGCCTGGCCCACTACTCCCTCCTAGTCTTCTTCCTATCCCCACCTCAACCCTCTGTGACCTCTATAAGGCAGCTATGTGCTGAGCCTTCCCTGTCTTTGTCACTTGCAGGCATGGCATTTGCTCTACTGGCCAATCTCCCTGCAGTCAACGGCCTCTACTCCTCCTTCTTCCCCCTGCTGACCTACTTCTTCCTGGGGAGTGTGCACCAGATGGTGCCAGGTAAGCTCACTCCCCTTTCCAGGCAGGATGAGCTGGATCCTGAGGAGGATGGCATGGAGACGAGGCTCAGTTTCCATCTTCTTTCTCCCAGAGTTGGGGTAGGTAGATCCTGGAGAGATCACTGTGTTGTCCTAGGTCCTCAGTGACCTTGGAGAAATCACTGAGCCTCTGTGCAGGTCAGTTAGCATGACCTGTTCCAGCTCCTTCCCTGACAGGAGAGGAGGACTTGGGAGAACAAGATATACCATACACTATTCAGGCTAAATCAATGCAGAAAACCACCATCAAATGCCCAGGGTGGTCCCATCAGGCCACTGCAGGGACATACGAAGTTTTCTGGTGCTAAGTGGAGAGAAAGGACCTGATCCTTTCTGACACAGGGCTGGTTTCTGGTGCACGCGTTGCTTGTACTTCTGACCTCATGTGTCCAGTGAGATCACGTTGTCAGGTAGGGCAAGAGCACCTTAGAAAGCATAGGTGGCAGCTAGATGTGAGTGACAGCTCTGTTGTGTTACAAAGAGGGGTGGTATAGATAAGGAAACCCATCTCCTGGGGGTTGGGTGTCCCTCGGCCTTTTACTGGTTTCCATGGGCATGCTCCAACCTCTGATTTTTGCTGGCTGCATGGGGCACCACAGGTACTTTTGCCGTTATCAGCATCCTGGTGGGTAACATCTGTCTGCAGCTGGCCCCAGAGTCAAAATTTCGGGTCTTCAACAATGTCACCAATGAGAGCTACATAGACACTGCAGCCATGGACACAGAGAGGCTGCATGTGTCAGCGACACTTGCCTGCCTGACTGCCATCATCCAGGTGAGGGTGATGCCCCAGCCCCAGCCTCAGAACTCCCCACCCCTGGGCTGAGGGTATAACTCAGCAGCACAGCACCTGCCTAGCAAGTGCAAGGTCATGAGTTTGATCCCTGGTACTGGGGGGGGGGGGGAGACACACCCTGCTCTGTCTCAAAGCACCTAATGTGATGTCAAATTCCCCTGATGTGATGTCAAATCTACCTTGTCCCTCTTCCCCTGCCAACCCTAAGCCAAAAAGAACCTTAAAATTTCAGAGTAGTTTCTTACCTGTGTCTATATTTAAGTCCAGCAATGGTGATGAAATTGTCCTGAATTTTAAAGCTGCCTAGGAAGATCCACAGCCCCTCTCCACTGCCCTAAATCTCTGTCAGCATCCCTGGAGGACCTTCCAGCCTCTGCCACAAGGCAGGCACACAGCATAACCCAACCTGCTACCAAGCAGAGCAAATGATTCCTAAATTTTAAGAAGGGACGCAAAGAATAACAGAATGTGAGGCCAAGTAGCAGCCTCAGGGACAAACACCTTTCATTCATTCATTCAGTGGTTTTCTTTGGTTGTTTCCCAGGAACTGGGCTAAGCCCTGAGGACACAAAGATAAGTCAGAAAGAGGCCCAGTTCACAAGTTGCTCCTAGCCAGCAGAGGAAGTAGCCTTGTCAACAGATAAATTTCTGTGTAGAGATAAGTAACACAGTACAGTTATATACAGATGGCTGTAGGAACAGAGAGCCAGGAAGGCCGTAAGAGGAGGTGAGAGGGTGGGTAGAATTTAACCAGGAGCTGAAGGAACAGGTGTCGAAGGGTGATCCCAGCAGAGGTAGCAAACTGGAGGCCTAACAGAGCAGTCTAACCAGCAAGGAGGGCAGCACAGGGCCAGAAAGAGGCCAGAGACAGGTCAGGGAGTGGTGACTCTGCATTGTGTTCCCTAAGCAATGGCCTAGAGTCGACCTGGCAGTTTATAAAGATCCTTGGGGCTGCAAAGAAGGTGGCTAGAGGTAGATTAGAACCTTGTGGGGAATGGCAGTGATTCTGCAGAGTCCCAGGCAGGAACAATGAGGGCCCAGACCAGGGTGGTGGCTGTGGAGAGGAAGATAGGGGTAGATGGGAGGGACATTTTGCCAGAAGCATTATGGAGCATGGTGATAGGCTGCCGGTGGGCAGTGAGAGAAGATGGCTCCCAAGTTTCTGTTTAGGTGGCCATCTGTACAGTGGTACCAATGCACAAGACAGGAAGCAATGAGGGACAGCCAGGCTTGCTTTACAATGAAGGAGACTAAAGCCAAAATGTTGAAGTGACAAAGCGGTCTATGCCCCAAAACAACTGAGGGTCTGGTAGCAGACACATAGAGCACAGGTAAGGACCTCACAAGGTCATAGAGGGCTCATTTTCCCAGAATCACTACTGTCCCATATTGCATGGGACTCCCGCCCAGGATGAGGTCAGGCAAGCTGTAGAGCGGATGACCCTTCCTGAGCCTCCCACCACCCCCTTCTCCCTTCCAGATGGGCCTGGGTTTCATGCAGTTCGGCTTTGTGGCCATCTACCTGTCCGAGTCCTTTGTCCGGGGCTTCATGACAGCCGCCGGCCTGCAGATCCTGATCTCAGTGCTCAAGTACATCTTTGGACTGACTGTGCCCCCATACTCAGGCCCAGGGTCCATCGTCCTTGTGAGTCTGGGGGCACATCTGCAAATGAGTCAGGCACTGACCAATCAAGGGAGCAAAGTGAGCTGTTTGAGGAACTCATGACTTGCTCATTCTGAGATGTCCTCAGCAAGGGCTGGCCGAGTTGTTGGGGGGGGGGACTTCTCATCACGTGATGAGGGGTCAACTGCATGGCCTGCGGGGCTTGCTGAGACTGCAGCTAATCACCACAGAGGAAGAGAGGTACACTCCATGGGTTCCCCATTCCAGTGTCTCAACCTCTCCCTTCCTGGAAGTCCTTTCTTAGTCTGATCTCCATTCCTCCACTTTCAGTTCAAGCTCTTGGAGAGATAAAAAGAAAGCAGCCTTTCCCCAGCTCCTGAGGTGCCTCTGGGAGGGGGTGGTGGCAAGGGAGACAGTGTTCATGGCCTTCGTGTGCCTCCGTCGTTAACACTGACGGCATCTCTTCCCTGGCTCAGGCACCCCAGGGTGGGGCTGTGTGGAAAGAAAGGGTGAGATCTGTGAGTATGATGCTCTCTTCACCAGACCTTCATTGACATTTGCAAAAACCTTCCCCACACCAACATCGCTTCACTCATCTTTGCCCTCATCAGCGCGCTCATTCTGGTGGTGGTGAAGGAGCTCAACGCCCGCTACATGCACAAGATCCGCTTCCCTATCCCCACCGAGGTGGTTGTGGTAAGGACCTTGCCCAGAGCCAGGGTGGAGGGGCTGTGAGAAGAGGACTCCTGCTCCAGGCAGGGCCAGGGACCCCCCACACACACCTGCCACCTACCTCCGCCCTTCCACTGGCAGCCCCCAGGATGGAGGTCAAAAGTGAATGCCTTCCTTGTCCTTGTGTGTGGCTCTCGCTCTCTTCCTGCTCCTCATATTGTCCTCCCTGCCGCTGCCCCTAGGTGGCAGAAGAGTAGAATTTGGGGCCCACATAGAAAAGCGACTAGGGAGAGACCCCTTGAGCCCAGTTTGAGCCCATTCTGCACTTTGGGATTTACAGGTGGTGGTGGCAACAGCTATCTCCGGGAGCTATAAAATGCCTCAAAAGTATCACATGCAGATTGTGGGTCACATTCAACATGGGTGAGTCCAGGGGGCCCAGAGCCTGCCCCCCCCAACCAAGCCCTGGGCTGAGGGAAATCAGTGGAGGCCAGGCATGGCGACACAACCCTAAAATCCCAGCCGCTTGACCAGAGGCTGTGACGCAGGATTGCAAGTTTGAGCCCAGCCTGGGGAACTTAGTAAGAGTGAGATCCTATCTCAAAATTTAAAAAAAAAAAAAATTAAAAGGGCGGGAGATGTACCTCAATGTGAATTCTTTCTGGGTTCAATCACCAGTACATTGACAGAAAGGGAAGGAGGAAGAGAAAGAGAAGGAGAGACTAAAAGTGTGTGACACTGACCACATGCGAATTATTCCTGCTGCCTTTTACCAAGAAGAGCCACCAACCAGCCCACGCTGGTTATGAAAAGTCTGTCTTAACTGCTTTGCTCCCCTGGAAGTCCCCTGCCATTAACACTCTCAGCCCTCTCTGATTGGCCCCACGCTGACTCTCTGCCGTGCTGTAACGCACTGGCTCCTTTGATTCATGCAGAAAGGAAGCTATTAGGATCAGCCAAATTGTGCCCAGAAGCTTGCTGGGGCCCTGGAAAACAGGGAAAAAGCTTGATCTACAGAGAAGGCAAAGGAGGGGAAGACACAGCACTGGGGACACGTGGGATGTAAACCTATGAGTCAGAGTCCAGACAGAACCTTGGCACAGACAAATGAGGCCCTGACCCTGCGGCTGCACAGGTCAGGTTCTCTGAGCCTCAGTGAAACAGGGCCAGTGGTACCTTCCCGCAAGAGCTGCTCCTTGTGAGAGCAGTCATACCAGCATCCTGGGACACTGTGGGGTCCTGAAGGTGATGAAGGATTCAGCTGATCCTATCTCCTCACTCTCCTGGGCCCTGCCCCCTTTCTGGCTCCTTGGCAGGTTCCCCACTCCGGTGTCACCTGTGGTGTCACAGTGGAAGGACATGATTGGCACAGCCTTCTCACTGGCCATCGTGGGCTACGTCATCAACCTGGCTATGGGCCGGACCCTGGCTGACAAACATGGCTACAGTGTGGATTCTAACCAGGTAGCTCGACTACCCTGGGGGGCACCAAAAGATACCTTGGGGCTCTGAACTAAGGTGAGGCAGCAGGAGAGGAGCTCCCACCCCAAAAGGCTGCCTTCTTCTTGAATGGCAGCATGTGGCTTTGTAGCACAGGATCCCTCTCAAGTCGTAGGCCTGAGATCCAGGTTGCGTGGCTGCCTGTATTTGGCCCCTGCTGCCCCACCAGCCCAGCCCCTGTCCCCACAGGAGATGATCGCCCTGGGCTGCAGTAACTTCTTTGGTTCCTTCTTTAAAATCCACGTCATCTGCTGTGCTCTCTCCGTCACTCTGGCTGTGGATGCAGCTGGGGGAAGATCCCAGGTGAGTAATGCGGATGCTAACAGTTGTGCCACAGAAGCCAGGCCCCTGCAGTCCAGGCCAGCTCCTCCCCATCTTCCTCCTCCTGCCTAATCTCCATGCCACAAAAGGCATCTATTGGGAAACACCCAAGAGCCAAACTTCCCCTGCTTCTAACTCTTTTTCTGAACAGGTGGCAAGTCTGTGCGTGTCTCTGGTGGTGATGATCACCATGCTGGTCCTGGGATCCTATCTGTACCCTCTCCCTAAGGTAAGAGCCCGTCTGGAAAGCAGAAGACTGTGGGAGACTCCAGTAGGAACCTTTTTGGGCAGTACTTCGAAATGACCAAGTGATGTCATTATCACTCTTAGTCTTGGTCACAGCCTGTAAGGCACACAGGACAGGTTTTCTTCTCTCCATTTTGCAGGTAAGAGAGGCTGAGCTGGTGAAACAGTTCACAGTCCAGGGCTGGTTTCAGACTCCTTCCTTCTAGCCCTAGAGGCTGACCTGCAGGCACTATGGGAGATCTCAGTTGGGAGGCTTCAAGCATGGGCTGCATAAGGAGGAGGGGAGAGAGGAAGGACAAAGATAAATCCCACAGCTTGAGTGGAGAGATTTGAGGGCTCTGTAGGGGATGCATTGTGGGGCTCCAGCTCTGTCCTGCCAGGCTGCAGGGTCAGGTGTGTGGGAGAAGGGCAGGTGAATGGGCTACTCCAGCCGATGCCAAGGGGTGCTCTGATTCTCCAGGCTGTGCTGGGAGCCCTGATAGCTGTCAACCTCAAGAACTCCCTCAAGCAGCTCACTGACCCCTACTACCTGTGGAGGAAGAGCAAGCTGGACTGTGTAAGTACTGGGCAGCCCCAGGCGCCCATCTGTGGCTCTGCACCTCCTCTAACCCACAGACTGGCCTCAGGTTGAGCCATCTGCTCTGCAGCTCCCTCTTTAGTATAGTCTAGAGGTTAGGAGTCCAGGGTTTGCAAGAGGCATCCTGGGTTTAAAACCTAATTCAGCCATTCACAGGCTCTGGACTATCTGGCTTCCCGTATCCTCTTCCTCTGTGGCCAATAGCTAGTTCCTTAACCTCCCTATGAGATGTGCATCTTATCTCTACCCTGAAGGCGGCTTTGATAGCTGTGTTTTGTTTTTTTCTTGTACTAGGAATCAAACTCAGGACCTTGCCAGGTAAACACTAGGTCGCTGAGCTATATCCCCTGAAATGAGACAATATTGATTTGCATTTGTGCTCCATGAACTTCTCTACTATTATTTTCATGATTTCTAGCTCCAAAACAGCAAAAAAGAAATCATTTTGTAAGAAAGTCTAGTTAAGAAAGCCAAAGGACCAGGGTCTTGAAGAAAGGAAGGAGGGAGGGAGGGAAAGATCAGGCAATCACACTCAGTCTAAGGGAAAATTACCAACAGTATAACCAAATATACAAATTACTGCAAAAATGCACTATAAAGAAAGGATAGGCCTGGGTATGTGGTGGCAGAGAGTGACCTTCTTTAATCCCGGAAGACTTCCTGAGAGCCGTGGTGTTTCTCCCCAAGTGTGCTCTTGACATGTCTTTCCCCACAGTGCGTCTGGGTGGTGAGCTTCCTCTCCTCCTTCTTCCTGAGCCTGCCATATGGTGTGGCAGTGGGTGTCGCCTTCTCTGTCCTGGTTGTGGTCTTCCAGACCCAGTTGTAAGTAACAGTCTCCTCCCTCCCAGACTCAGCACCGGGTCACTGGGCCAGCCTGTCGAGGGTTCCCATGCTTAAGCCACTGTGCCCTCCACCGTATGGGCCTGGCGCTGGAGGTGCTGCCCGGCCTGGGGAGACCCTAATCCAGACGGGATGGCTGGACTGTCGGCTTCCCATATCCTGACCCCTAGAAGGGGCCAGTGCAGACTGAAGGCCTAGTGCTGCAGAAAGGGGAGGGGATGAGCAGACAGGTAGGACCCAACATCCTTCCAGAAATGCCACCCACACGGCAGAGCCATTGAGACCCACCCAGGACAGCACCGGGCAGCGGACAGACGTGGGCTCTTCCTCAAAAGGACTCAGTATAAAGGCTAAGGGCGCCGGACAGTGAGGCAGGAGCAGGAGGGAAAACACAGAGGCTGGAGACTCCTTCTCTCCTCCTCTTACGAACTTAGAATCAGGAAGTGCTGACTTCGGGACCCCTGCAGTGTGTCACCTTGTGTACCATGCCTTCCCGGAGTAGTCAGGGAGCTACACCAAGGGCCTGCCTGTCACCTACCTGGTGACACCCACTAACCACAGGCCGCCAGGAACGTCTCTCATGCAGAAAGCTCAGGGAAAAGGCCCTGCCCCTCCCGCCCCACATCTTTCCAGGCTCCCTGCTGTCAGCATCCCCATGTCTCCTTTTCCTCTTCATCTAGTCGGAATGGCTATGTGCTGGCCCGGGTCATGGACACTGACATCTATGTGAACCCCAAGACATACAGTAGGGTAGGTAACCCAGGCATTTGTCACCTCCTTTTGTACTGTGCCCACCCTAAGAAGCAGTTTTTTTAAAAAACAGTAAAGACTTTTTGTTTTGTTTTGTTTTGTTTTGTGGCTTTTTGAGACAAGGTCTCCCTATGTAGCCCAGGCTGGCCTCGAACTCACTGAGATCCTCATGCCTCAGCCTCCCAAGGGCTGGGATTACAAGCATGTACCACCATGCCCAACAAAAACAGTAGCGACATTCCTGCAACCTGAGCTTAGTCTCTGTGTCACAGGTCCAGGAAATTGAGGGGATTAAGATCATCACTTACTGTGCCCCTCTCTACTTTGCCAACTCGGAGATCTTCAAGCAAAAGGTCATTGCTAAGGTAAGGCTCAAACCTTGGTCACCAGAAAGCCTTGAGAGGGAGTGGCCAGAAGATGGAAGCAGAAAGGGGCTTGGAGCTACGAGGGGGCCACCCCACCAAGGGTGGAGAACAAAACTGCTGTTGGTTCTCCTCCCACAGACAGGTACAGACCCCCAGAAAGTATTACTTGCCAAGCAAAAACACCTCCGCAGGCAAGAGAAGAGGATGGCGCCCACACAGCAGAGGAAATCTCTCTTCATGAAAACCAAGGTGAACAGAGGCCACCCTTTCTGCTCTTGCCCTTGCACCCCAACTTCAGTATCCTATGTGGAAAAGACAGGAAATCTCTGAGCACTGCCCCGGGCAGCCGAGTCAGGCAATCTTCTTGGGTGAGGGGCTGTGAGTGCCCTGGGAAACCACCGGCTAGCCCTGGCTAAGGTAAGACATCTCTCTGGGATCTGTTGACAAGCCGAGAAGGGGCACGGAAGTGAACTTCCGGGAATGCCAGCCAATCCCGAGTAGCAAGGCTGGGGTGGAAGTCAGAGGTAGGGAGAAGCAGTCAGATGATGCAAAAAGGAGCTCTGCTGTGCCCAAAGGAACCTCCTCCCAGCACTCAGAGGGCCCAAACTTTGGGCTGTCTGTGGAAGGGTCCTCTGCTCTCTGGAGTGTGGGAGACCAAGCTCAGTGGCTCTGCCACAGGAAGGGAATTTGGGGGCTCTCCTGTGGGTTTCCCAGGGCCTATGTTCACACCTGTCAGCTGAGTCACCCCTCAACCTGTACCCTCCTAGCAGAGGTCCGGCTGCAGCAAAATGTGACTCAGTTCCATGGTGCCTGATTCTGCCCCCTCCCCGACCGCCACTCCCAGACGGTCTCCCTGCAGGAGCTGCAGCAGGACTTTGAGAACGTCACCCCCACCGACCCCAACAACAACCAGACGCTGGCCAATGGTGCTGGCATATCCTACGTCACTTTCAGTCCTGACACCTCAGCTTCCCCATGTGAGCCAGTGACCTCTGCAGAGCCCCCAAGAGAGCCCAGTGACATTCTGGCCAGTGTCCCACCCTTTGTTACCTTCCATACCCTCGTTCTGGACATGAGTGGCGTCAGCTTTGTGGACCTGATGGGCACCAAAGCCCTGGCCAAGGTGAGGCCCTAACATAAGTAAATGCTTCTGCTTCCACACTCCTGTTCTGGGGAAGTCTCAGACCTCCAGCCCCCTGATGTGAGCAGGACAGGACACTCGGCTGAGCAGGCCCTTGTCAGTGAGTCCCTGCAGGGCCATGCCAAGCACCCTCTCAGGCCACCAGGAACCCATGCGCAGGACCTCTGTGGAGTCCTGTTGGCCACTGGCTCATGTGGTTCTTCCCATACTCACTGGCCAACCTAGGAAAGACGAGGAATGAGATCAGTGCCCTGCCCCTCAGGACACTGTGACTGCACATACCTCTGAGGACAGGGCTCTGGTGGAGGTGCTGTCAGCATCACTGGGGATAGAGAAGGCCCCATGCCCAAACTTGGGTCTCACTTGCTTCCCTGGCCTGGACCTAAAGCTCAGGCCCTGGTCTCTCTGAGCTTCCATCCTTCCCTGCAGCTTCTGCCCAAAGCCACAGTTGGGAAAGTGACAGACCTGGGAATCCAAGCTACTGAACCAAAAGACCTGGTCCCATAAGATGGGCCACGGTGACTTTAAGTGCCTGCCACACTGGCAAAGTCCCATTTCCGTCCCATTTTCCAAAACTGCCTTCAGGCAACACTCCAGAGAGAAGTGCTATGTTTGGGTGCTATTTTTGTCTCTGGCAGCCTGGCCTCTCAGGGTTGCTTACTTGTTTGGCTTCCACTCTGAAGTGTATTTTGGGAGTCACTTTTGAGATCCACTCAGAACATTCCTTTCCTTTTGTTCTCCACCCCCAACACCTTCCTGCACCTCTAGCTGAGCTCCACCTTTGGGAAGATCGGAGTCAAGGTCTTCTTGGTAAACATCCATGGTAAGAAAAGCCAGACATGGAGGGGCCCGAAAGGCTGGGGAGGGAGGTGCAATGGAAAAGGTTGGTGGGGCACTGAGTGAGAGCACCCCAATATTCCTCCAAATTGCTGATTAGTTGTAAAAACTTCAGACCCAAATAAAAAGAGACTGTCCAGAGCCAGGTATGGTGGTGCATGCATGTAATCCCAGCACTCTGGGAAGCTGAGGCAGGTGGATCTAAAGTTTGAGCTCAGGCTGGGTAACTTAGCTACTTAGTGAGACCCTGTGTCAAAAAAAAACAATAAAAGGGACAACTTGGGTGGAGCTCAGTGCAAAGATCCTGGAGTCATCCCCTACTACAGAAAGATTAAGAGAGAGGAAAAGGACTGGGAGCCTTCTATAAACATCCTAGGGTCTCTGTAACAGAGTGAGTGGCCACGGAGCTGAGTAAGGACAGTCAGGTTTATCATCTGTCCCATTACTAACTTGCTATGTATCCTAAGCCAAGTCATTTTATCTGTCCAACTGTGGAAAGTTGGCTACGTGACACTGAGGACTGTCTCCCTGTCGGGCCTGTGAATCGATGTAAGCACAGAGCAGCCACACAGGCCACCACCCTGGGAGCACAGAGACGTGGTCTTATCCACACAGGGCCACAGAGCAGTGGGCATCCTCAGCATCAATACAGAGGCCAAGTGCAGGCTGTTGGAGCGCAGCAGGTGCGTACACACAGCGTAGTGCAGAGTTAGGGTAAGAGATCGGGCACGCGCCAGGAGTTGCGAGAAAGATCCAAGTAAATGAGAGGAAGCACGGGCCTTAGGAGACAGAGTGGACAGCAGTCTCCTTGAGGATGAGTTAGCCTTCTCCTCAGGAATCCCTGCAGAGTACCAATCCCTAAACCAAACCGCTTGCTTCTGCCCCGGTGGAAAGTTGAGCATCTGCAAACTCATGTTGCCCCCTGCTGTCCAGGACTGATATTGCAACGCTAACGCCACCGCCAGGACTCTGGACACCTCAGACTTCTCCCACCCCGCCCCCAGCACCAGTTGGCAATGGTTGTTCTCTTTCTGAACCTGATCTTGCGTCCTTCCAGCCCAGGTGTACAATGACATCAGCCACGGAGGTGTCTTCGAGGACGGATGTGTACAGCGCAAACACGTCTTCCCCAGCATACACGATGCGGTCCTCTTTGCTCAGGAAAATGCCAGAGAAGCAGTCCCAGGACAGAACTCCCAAAGGGTGAGATCCTTGCCTGTAGCAAACCAGAGGCTCCAGGACACTGCCATAGCCAGACCAGGGGCATTAAGGGCATTAGGAGAAGATTTAAGTTCTGACGCCAGTTCTGTCAGCTTACTGAGCCTCAATTTCCTCATCTGTAGAATGGGTATCATCAGCTACTATTACCTACCTTACACAGCTTTCTCGGCTTTTTATTTTTTACGTACTTATCTATATATTTTTTATTTTAAGAAGGAAAAAAGTACAGAAGCATCAAAAAGTAATCAAACAAACATACAAAAATTCAAATGACAACAACAACAAAAGCCAATAGTGATAAAGGATTTCAAAACTAGATGATGGGAATTTAACAATGGCTGCTAAATTGCATATTATTATCTTCAAAATAGTTGCGCAGGTTATCAGATGCAAGCAAGCAAAATTGATCAAACAATATGATTTCTTGAGGTTTTTTTTTAGATTTTGAAAGTTATGTGTATATTATTTTTTAATACCCTTTTACTACTTTCTAGTGGAACCAACACCCCGAGGTTAGCATGTTACGCCCTGAATCTGGTATTGTTCTCCTAAAAAGGCCTAGCCAGGAATAGTGGCACCCACCTGTCACCTCAGCACTTGGGAGACAGGAAATTTCTGGGAGTTTGAGGTCAGTCTGGGCTATGTAGTAAGTTCAAAGCCCACATAAACTACATAGCAAATCCTGTCTCAAAATAAATAGATAGATCTTTGGGGAAGGGAAGGAAGGAGTCCGGTTTCAATTCAGCAAAGCTTAGAGGTTCCAGGCTGGTGATGGATGGAGAGGATGGTCTCCTCGCAGCCTCTTTTCTCAGCTGCTCACTATTTAATTTATTAGCTCAGTAAGTGATATGCAAATGAGGCACCAATAACAATGTCTAGGATATTGTCTGGAAAGCTGAGGAGTTAGAAAAAGTCCACTCCACTCCGCAGTCCCCCCACCCCACTCCCACAGGTGCCCTCGCAGCTCACCAGGGGTCCCCGTCCCCCAAGGTGCATGCCCCACCTCCACATCCTCCCCTGCCTCTGCAGGCCGTGGGTGACCTCTGCCCTTTGCCATAAGAGACGGATAAAGGTGACATCATCTATTCCCAGCACCGAAAGAGAACCTGAGATGACTGAGGACCACCTGGTCCCCCGCCCTCCACACTTAGAGGAAAATCGGGCTGGGAGAATAGACTTCCCTAGCTTGCAAACCAGGTCCACAGGCCATTCTTGTGAATCTCACCACTAACGTCCAGTCATTACAGTCTCTCTATATAATGTATCACTTACATTATATTAACACTAGATGTAGTCTAGTGTTAATTAGCACTAGATTAATTAACTCTAGATGTAGTCTATGTTTACCTGGTATGGACTATACTCCTGTGCACATAAATTACACACGCATGCACGCACACCTCCTTTTTTATGCTCAGTAAGGAGAAGGCCCGCAAAGCAGTCTGATGATCCTACTTGGCAGGTTTGCAGAGAGAGGAAAGGAACTGTCCACGGCCAGGCCCTGGCAGCCACCCGTGTAAGAAAGCTGCCCCACCTAGGCCAGGGAAGGCAGGCCTGGCCCACCTCTGCCTGCCTGTGGTTCTGTCTGGTGAGGCACGTGAGAGAGAGTTACATGGCAGTACAGGCGCACCCAGCGCCTGCCCCACGCGCTCCCTGCAGCCGCCCAGTGTCGCTGGCACTGACTCATCTGCGCCTGCTTCCCTCCATCCAGGCCCCAGAGGACACCGAGCTCTCCCTGTGTGACTCAGAGGAGGACAACCCAGGCTACTGGGACTTGGAGCAGGTGAGCGAGGGATGGGGCTGAGGGAGGGCAAAGAGGGGACCCTCTCCAGGACTGGGGTTCACTGCAGCCCCTCGCACCTGGCTGCAGCAGTCTTCCTGAAGGCTGCATCCTCCTCTTTCTCTGAATAGCAGATAGAGATTCTTCCCACCTCCTAAAAGGCAGCCTGGGAAAGGGAGAGTGTGGACAGAGTCCTAGAGAGCCACAGCTCTTCACTCTGTGGTCTTGGGAGAGCCACAGAACACTCCTGGGGCCCTGTTGTTACCATTTGCAAATTCAGAGAAATATGGACAATGCTTGTTCTCCACAAGATTAATGGGACAGGGGACTGGTGTGTGTTGTATTCATTCAACAAGTATTTTTGGAGTGACTAGTCCTTGCCTAATACAGTTGCACCCCACACCCCAGCCCTTTGGGAGCTCTGTTCTGATAGAATCTCATGGGTTATTGCAATTCTAGGGTACATTATTATTTTTACAAGTGGATAGCCCTTAAGAACTAAAGGCTATGCAGATATGAAGGGTCACTATCCCCACACGGCCCAAGGACATTACCCCCAAACTCCTCAATTAAACACAAACAAAAGGCAGGTAACAGGAGGTGGGCATGGTGGTGCAAGTCTGTAATCACAGCACTTAGGAGGCAGGAGGATCATTGTGAGTTTGAGATCAGCCTGGGCTGCTTAGCTCAAGGCCAGCCTGAACTGCATGGTGAGACCCTGTCTCAAAAAGACAAAAAAAGAAAGAAAAACAAAAGGAAAAAACCAGGTGACAAGATTTAGAGAAATCTGGCTTTGAATCTATTAAAAATAACACCTATCTCAGGGTCATTTCCCATTCTTTTTGGGTCTGAGTTCTGAACTCTGAAGACATCTCTGAGTGCTGATAGCAGGTGCAGACCATGGAAAATAGAGCCAGAACCACAGAGATCTGGCAGCATGATGTCTGTGTCTCCCTGGAATCTCCAACACATTCCCATAAAGTCTGGATGGTGCTGAAATGCTCGCTTATCAAAGTGAAAAAACTTGGGGCTGGGGGTTTAGCTCAGCGGCATAAGCGCCTGCCATGCAAGTGTGCAGTCGTGAGTTTGATCCCTGGTACCGATAAAAAGGAAAAAGACAAAAAAAAAAAAAAAAACTTATTGGCTTCTCTAGGCCCAATCCTCATTTCACCTGATAGAGAACGTGAAGCTGAAACGCTAGGGAAGGACGTGTGCCCGTGTAAGGTCACACAGGACACCGTGCACAAGTGGATCCCAGCACCTTCGCCCATGATCACGGCACCAGTTCCCGTCTGAGGCTGGCCTTGCCGCCCCTCTTCATGTACACACACATACACACACACACAGTGCCTCGCTCTATCTGAGGTCCACACTGTCCCTCTTAGCTGCAGTCTCTTTGGCCCCCCAGGTCTAACGCTTTTCCTCCCTCTCCTCCTTCCTTGCTGTGGCCCCCCAGGAGATGTTCGGGAGCATGTTCCACACGGAGACCCTGACCGCCCTGTGAGGCCCAGCTGCTCGCCATGCTGCCTGCAGAGCTCCTGGCACCAGGGACTTCCATGAAGGAGGGATGGGAGAGAAGAGTGTGGCCACCAGGACCCTGGCTCTGCTCTGTGCCCCTTTCTTTCTCCCCTCCTCTCTCAGCAGGGAATGCTCACCCCTGCTGGGATGAGAGTCTGGTGAACTCCCCTCCCCTAACCTCAGCCCAGCCCACTCCACACCACCTGCCCACACCCTGCCATGGCAGCTGAGGGATGTTTTGACTTCCAGACTTTGAGAGTGAGCCAAGGACAGCACAAGAACAACTGCGCTGACCTGGTACCCAAGCTTGGCAAGGGTTCTAGGGCCTGCACGGGTTGGTGGCAGAAGATGTCCTGCCATCAAGGACACAGAACTAGACTCTGAGACCAAGATGCCCCAACTCCATTCTGCAGCTCTGCACCGGGGGCCATGTGACCTCCACAACCTAGGAGATTCTATCTTGGCGACCATCTCCTTTCCTTGTCCAAAGGATGCCGAGATGGCCACTGCTGTTCAGCACTTCAAACTCCAGCCTGGGCAGTGACCAGGCCCCTCACAACCATCAGAGCTACCTCCCCAGGGCTGGCCCACAGAGGGGCTGCCTCAGCCTCCAGAAGCACCACTCACTTCCCCCGAGAGGCTGGTCCTTCCCACTTGAGGCTGAGTAGGAGCCCAGGAAATGGGGCAGGCAGCTGGCAGAATCCTCTGACCACCTAGCAGCAGATACTAGTGATTCTGCGCCAAGGCTTTTGGGAATCCCGCTTTGTACCAAAGATTTAGAAGAAGGGGGCAGTGCTAGTGCCAACCCAGGCCAAACTGGGGGGACTTGGCTTCTAACAGTGCCCCTAGTCTCCAGGCAGAGGGGAAAATACCTTTCCTCAGGATGTCTGCCTTGTGCTTCTTCACTTGGTGAAGAGCCAATAGTTTTAACTTTCCTTTATCAGCCTGGAGGCTGATGATGGGGTCCTCCCACAGGTAAAGGAGGAGGCCTTAGAGGATCGGCTGCACCCCCCAGAGGGCCTCAGAGGTGGCGTGGGGCTGGTTTAAGTGGGTCTTTCTCCACAGGGTGTCCTTAACCTGAGTCCGTCTTCCTTTAGGAAAGATGAAAATAGGGGTTAAGGTCTCTGTCTATCTAAGGAGGTATATCTAGAGGAACCTATATATAGATACAGAGAGGAACTCCACTGTTGACTTGAAAATAAATAGGTTCCATGCGCATGTGCAAGTGCTTTGTAAAATTTCCATGAAAGTGCACAGAAAATCTTCTGGCCTTGCCTCACTGTTCTCCAAGTTCCCTGTCCCAACAGGTTGGGCTGGCCCAGCCTGGGAAAAAGTCCCAGTGCCTAACTTCAGCCTGAGCTGCATTGCATGTCTGTGGTCGGCTAGCAAGTCTTCCTAGAGTTAAAGGAGAGGGTGCTGGCCCAGCACCCGCACATTCTTGGCCCAGAGGCACTGCTTCTCAGTGAATTCATTATGCCATCTGGCTGCCAATGGAACTCAAAACTTGGAAGGCAGAAGACAATGTTATCTGGGATTCACCGTGCCCAGCACTTGAAGTGCCAAATTCCAGGAGGACAAGAACCTCAGCCAATGACAACCCACCCGCCCCTACTCCACCTCCTTCAAAGTCCGGCTCAGGCCCAGGAGAAGGAGGAAGGTCACAGAGCCTCAGAGCAGCCTAAGTCAGAGTCCTCCTTTGAACCAAGTGTCTGGATCCCCTGGAGACTCGATGGAGTGATCATTAATAAATATTCTAGCCAGCCCCAGAACTGAAGGGGACTGTGACTCACAAAGGCCTGGAGTCAGGGCTGCAGAAAGGATCTGTGACCTCTCCAGCACAATAAGCATTCTCAGTGCTCCCACTGGGGCAAGGGAAGACACTGAAGAAAACTTCACTGTTGAGACATGTTGAGAAGAACACAAATGTCACACATGCCACTTTTCTGGACATGACTGAGGCAAGGAGGGAGGAGGCAAGGCAGCAAAATAATCCAGAATTTCAATACTTCTCAATGTCCTGCCTGATCCTGACCTGTGCTGATACGATTCCCAGGGAGGGCTGGGAAGCTTGACTCTTGAGATATTTGTGTAATTTATTTAATTTAAATTTCTTTCTCCTTTCATTCATTTTGGTAATAAAGTGCTTTTGAAATGTGAAGTGCACATTTGGATGGTTTAACAGAGATGCAACCAAGTTACCTCCAGGGAACATCTGGCTTGGCTTTGCATGCTGAGACGAAACAAGGACCTGAGATTTCCTCACAGATTTCCTCACAGATTTTCTAGCACCTTTCCAGTTTCTGGTTTTCCACTCTTATGGATGAGTAAGTTTTCATGACCCAGCTAAAGAGTGAAGATCAGGGAGAGAAGAGTGGGCTAAGGGATTTGCATACCCAGAATCAGCTTGAGAGCCAATGCTATGCTTTTGACTATGAAGGACCAGTAGTGTGATCAGAATAAACAGTAAATATATATATGTTATATATAATATATATTAATTATATATATAACAGTAAAATACACATTGCCATTAATCTCCCTCAAAACACTTCCCCTTGCTTCAAACACTTGTCCCATCATCCTTGTACTTTCTGAAGCAGTTCTGGAAGTCCTCTTTCATGAGTGTCTTAGGACAACAGAGTGAAGTGAATGCTCCTGAGTACCATTCAATAGGAAGGCAGGTTTATAAAAACATCACAGTATATCCTCACCTGCCTTATAACCAGTCTGGCAGCATGCAACTTGTCATTCCTCCCCAGAGTCAAATAACAATGAAAAGTAAATAATCTGAGTTGATTTAAAACACTGAGGCAGCCGGGCATTGGCGGCACATGCCTGTAATTCCAGCACTCGAGTGGCTAAGGCAAGAGGATTTTTGTGAGTTTGAGACCAGCCTGAGATGTTTATTATGGATCTATTATGGTGTCCATCTACAATGTCCCCAAAAGTCTCATGTATCAGAGGTGAGGCTTTGGAAGATGATTGGATCATAGAGGTTCTCTGCTCATGAGGAGATTAGCCTTTGATGATTTCATACTTAAGTGTGCTGTTGGGAGGTGGTGGGTCAGAAGAGGTGGGTCACTGCAGGCATGACCTGCAAGGCTCCTCCTGGCTCTTCCCTTCTCTCTGTGCTTCCTGGCTGCCATGGGTAGAGCAGCTTTCCTCCGCCATCCCTTTACCCATGTCACTTCTGCCTCAGGCCAACCAACTACAGACCACGCCCTTTGAAGCCATGAGCCAAAATAAACTCATCCTCCTTTAAAATGTGGGTATTAGGTATTTTGTCCCCGTGAAGGGAAAGTGATACAGGGTCAACAGCATCAATGCTCAGCAAAGCATCTAGAATACTGAGTCTGGGGATGCTTGATCCAATCTCACCTTTTCCTCTCCTGTCTATGAATGATGTCGAGAAAAGTAAGGATGGGACTCAAGGGTCCAGCAAGCTAGACTGACTCCTAGCTTTGCTTACAATAGAAAATGAGGGGAAGGAGATAAGAATCAGAAAAAGAGCAAAGGTGCGAGGGGGACAGACGTAGAATGAAGTAGGAAGAGATGAAGGACCAGAGAAAAGACAAAGCAAAAAAGAAAGGTAGATGAACTGTCAGCAGAGTAGATTTGTGGAAATGTATAGATGAAGAGAACCAGAAGAAAGAAAAATGGACGTAGGAGGAGGAAGTTATATTCCACAGGCAGAAAAGACAGTGAGCTCCAAAGTGACAATTATGAACTGATCTTTTCTTTTGGTACCAGGGATTGAACTCACAAACTTGTGCTTACCAGGCAGGAACTTAAACCGCTGAGCTAAATCCCTGGGCTGTGCTGATCTTGCTTTATCCTGCTGTTCAACTAGTCTTGGGTTGATTCACAGTTAACAGTCTTCCCATTTGAATTTTAGATGTCTTTCATTGACACTATCTTAGCCTGAATCCTCCTAGAAGCGGAACCTGAGACTGTGAACAGGTTTCTTAGAAGTGATCTAACAGACAGGAGTGCCAGGCAGGAGGAGTGAAAAGAGGATGGAAGAAGCCAGCATGAGGATAAGTCACAGAGGGAGCCACTGTGAGACATTTAACCATCGCTCCCATCTCCTGTCAATCAAGGACTGGGTATCAACTCTCCAACAATTTCAGGTTGCCAGTGCATGAGTGCAGACGTGTTCCCAAGGTGTTGCACATGTGGTATCAGGGATGCCTCTCATCATGTGGCTTCAGGCAGGGGCCAGCAGGTAGGACTGCTCAGATCCATGACCCCAGCCTCTGAGGCTCAGGAAGAGGCACACATGAAGGACATCAAAATCAAATGCATGTTTTAACTTCTCATCTTTTAAGATCCATTTTTGCCAAGATTGTATAACTACAATATGGTCTTAGTGGGGTTGAGTCAAAAACTTCCATGCAGTGACTATCTCATCATCCAAAACTGGAACAGGGTGACTTAAAAACCATGAATCTCTGAGCGTGTCCAAGAGGAGGTAAGCTACCCATTGTCAGAGGGTGCTGTCAATGGAGCTCTGCTCTGGGTCGCAGGTCACGCAAGCCCCCTTGGCTCCTCCCTGGATCTCTCCACTTCCTGACCACCATTAGGTGAGCAGCTGGTCCTCCACCATATACCTGGGCTGTGCAGCCCAACCTACCAACCAACAACAGAAACTTCCAAAACATGAGCCAGAACAAACTTCTCTAGGTTGCAGGCGTTAGGTATTTTGTCTCAGTAAAAAAGTGACTAAGATGATTACTGATTCTCCTTTGTCTCTCCCTATTGACACACATAACTCTTTCCCCAACCATTTTAGGATATGTCCTTTAATTTCATTTTAGGATAGGTGTATTTCCTTAAAGATTTTCTCTAACTCACAACCATTTCACAGTTACCAACTTGATAAATTTATGTGGACACAACACTACTCCAGTTTTGTCAGTCAATCTAATAACATTCGTTGGAGCATTTATTTTCTCTCCAGCACTGGAGAGAAGACACACTATGGTAAAATACTGAATTTTGTGGCCATTTTTTTTTAGCATTCTTTAATATGGAACATTTTCATGATTTGCCTTTTACAACGTTTGGCATTGTTTTTAAGACTATGGTTCACTCACCCTCTTTTCCTATCCTTCATATCTCATGTGTCTGATATCTTCTCATAATTCCACTATATTCTCACCTAGCGTACTCCATAGATAATGCTTCCTCTTTTTCTGCCTGTCATATCAAGAAGAACAAGCTATTCATCAGTCACTCACAGTGAAGTTAATTTTGATTATACAGTCAGGATATTGCCAGATTTCTTCACCACATAATCACCAGAGGGAAGTTTTTCTTTTTTTCTCCCTGCAACTTATGGTTTTGGGGAAACACTTTAAGGCCATGCAAATATCCTGCTGTTCGTTAAAGTATCTCCCTAGAGTGAGCATCCATTGATGATTCTTGTGTAGCCCTATCATTTCTATGATAGTTGCAGAATGCTGATTCTCTAGTTCCAGCCTGTAGTTTACATTGTGGTCAGCTCTCTGCATCCTATCAGCAAGCTCCCTGACTTCTCGTGCACATGTCCACAGTTTTTAAAAACTGTATGTATCTTGTATCTGTTTACATTCATATTATATATGTATGACCATACCTATGTGCATGCATGTGTATATGTGTATTTGTATACACATGTGTGTATGTGTAGATGTAAGTCTTAGCACATTTTTTGTTGCTATAACTGAAATACCACAGATCAGGGAATTTATAAAGAAAAGAAGTTTAGCCCATAGTTCTGGAAGTCCAAGAGCAAAGCTCCAGCATCTGGAGAGAGTAAAAAGAAAAACTTCACCAAAGAAGAAAGTGGTAACTGGTTGCCCCTTCTCTCTGAGCTGGACTCATTTTTACAGCACAGACAACAGCCTTTCTGAGAGTTACCGTCCAGATGGTAGAATATAGCATCATGAGGAAAACAAAAAGGATGGAAATGGATGGCCTGGACCCAAGAAGAGTCGGAACTGTGAGTTGAAGCCCACAGAGAGAGTAAAAAGAAAAACTTCACCAAAGAAGAAAGCGGTAACTGGTTGCCCCTTCTCCCTGAGCTGGACTCATTGAGTGAGAGGAGCTTTTTGAAACTGGGGATGCATGGGCACAGTGATGGTGATGGTTAACCACCCCAGAGGCCTCTGCTGAGAGACTTCCCAGTAGAGGGAAGCAACGGACGTGCAAGATGGCACTGGCTGGTGGTGAGTGCAGAGGACTCAGTCCTCCCATGGGAGAGAATGATCATCTGGGAGCCATCTTGAGGTCAGGTCAGATAAGTCCTGATCCAGAACTGCAGCCAGCTTCCTCTACCAGCTCCTAGCTGGGCACAGACTCATGGAAATCGCTTGGACTGTGGCAAGCCCAATGAGTCTGGTCTCAGGGTAGGCCTTCTGAGGTCATCTATTACACTGCCATAAGGTAATTGCTGGCTGCTTGGATACAGTGGCACAATTCAGAACTCTGTCTCCACAGGCTGTCTGCTAGTGAAACCAGAGAGTCCTGGAAGTGGACTGTTGGTTTTTCTTTTCCTTTTCATTTTTTTGTTTCATTTTATTTTGTTGTTTTTGTTTGTTTGTTTCCTTTTTTTCCATCATTGTTTTTATGAGTGTGAGCGTGGTTCCTGACCTCTTTGTGGGTGTGGTTCTGTTCTGTTCTACCTTTTATCTCTTCCATCTCTCTTCTTTCAGTCTTCTGCACCTGTTTCCCCAAGTTGGCATGATCCTCGCTTTGTCCTCCAACCTTACTTGTAATCTCTTCTTCCATTTCTCTATTTTCTCCTGAATCCATGTTAAACTTTAACCCCGAGGGCAAAATTGACACATTACAGACTTATATATTGCATATAATTATCTGATTTGTTTTAAATTTTGTTATATAATCACAAATCTAGTTTACAAAGTTAAAAGTTGCAAATTAAGGGTTAGCTCCGTTTGTTGTTTTATAGGTTGTATTTGATGCTATTAGTACCACTATAGCCAAAATTAACATAATTGAACTGAACAGCTGTTGGCCCTGATAATCCATGACTGAAATTAACTAAGGGTCACAAGAAATACTGTGACACAGTGCCAAAGAACCGGGGCTGGACCAAATGAACAACAACTTCTCATCTCCAACAAACTGAAGAGGTAAGATCTTCCAA